TATACAGACTCTAAACAATGAAACCACCAAGAACACACTCTTGGATTTTTCAATTAAGTCCAATAAGAACAATCCTCTCAATGTGGACCTCTTGCTTCCAACAATCCTGGACAACAATGTAACAACCTTAAAAACTTAATTCCAATAATCCTGGAACACTAAGTATGTAATCACAAGAATAACTTAGATAACTTGTTTGAGTGATTTTGAAATTGTCTTTAATATATCAATCTTCTGATTGATATTCTTCTTGATATTTCACCTTTTATATATCTTAACAAGTGTTCAAATGAGTGAGAATGAAACTATGATGAATTTCTGAAAATTTAAGTATGCAAGTTTCACTCTTTTAAAAGTTTAGAATTTTGACACTTGTAGAAAAATGAGAGATGAAAAATATTTGAAATTTTTGCAAGAAGGGTGATTTTAAAAAAAAAAATTGAGTTTAGAGGTATATATAGGCCTCTAAATATCCTTTCAGAATGACTAAAATCATCAAAAGATGTCATGGTTCAAGAAGAAGAAGAAAACATTTTTTAAACCAAGAGATGCAACTTTCTGACTTGCAGCGCCAGTGGTAATCGGTTACCATAAGTGGGTAACCGGTTACCTGCCTCCAACATAACCAAAAATTGAAAATCTGCAGCAAGTAATCGGTACCAGGATAGGGTAACCGGTTACTCAGTGTTATTTTCTAGAAACCAGTTTTTCCAAAATTGAATCAAAGTGCATAGTTTTATTTCAAAAAGTTTTTTATGCAATGCAAAAAAGAGATAAAGTTTTGAACACACGAGTAAGGTATATAAATGCTTAAATTATTGTACCTCCATTGTGTCAAACTTTATCTTCTTTCTTGATCAAACTTTGACATATTGAATTGAAAGTGAGATGCTTGAGCTTGATATAATCTTGAAGTCTTGAAAACCATTCTTGCATGGTGTGGATTATGTCGTCATCAAAATCAATTAAGAAGCTTGTCTCCACACTAACTATTTTTGTTATGCATGACTAACAATGTGAATGGTTGCATACTGATAATTTCTAGTTGGTAGGATTGTATGCTACTAACTATGAGCTGATTGAGGTCCATGCATGACTAAATTGTGAATGATTGCATGTCTATCTTATTGATTTTGGAGCATTGTTTTGTGTGGCATACATCTGTGATGAATGTTATTGATTTTCTATTATTGTGCCACAACTCTGATAAATGTTATTGCTGATGAAATTGTATGCTCTGATAGTCTTTTGTTGAGTGTCACTTGTTCTGATTGAATGAATGATATTTATCTTAAAGAGTTGTTTTTCCACAAATTGCCAACGAGATAGATTATTATTCCTTTTGGATTGACTACATTTTGCAAAACAACATGGAAAAGTGTTCAAGATCGCCAAGCTACTTCAAGAGGTACAGAAGAGACACATGCTAGACGCGATGTCACAAGATGTGGGTACAACATTTGGGCCTTGCTCAACAGGCCAGATTGCTGCATTTTGGAACAAATTTTCTGTTGAAGATTCAATTAGATTTTATTATTTTTAATTATAAGTATGATTATATGATTTGTTGGACAGTTGTAAAAATCAAATTAGATTTAAATGAGATTTAAATTTGAATTTGAAACAAACTAAATCATATCTTTTTGTTGAAGATATTTATGAAACAAATCATATCCAACAGATTATGCAAAGATTCCGGACGAAATTAAATCAAAGATCCAAGGAGAAAAATCCATAATACTTTTGATATATAAGGAGCTCAAAACCTACATTGAAAAGCAAGCAATACATTGAAGATATTAAAGTGATAGGGTTTATTTGAGCCCTTGCTATTGTTATATGTACACCACAATATGTTTCACTAACTTGGCATAATTGTAGGTTTGTCTAGTTGAGTTGTAAATCAACATTCAACATTGTTAATTGAAGTCCATCACTAGGGTTTAGTGATTGAGAGAAAGTGAGAGGCGTTCTCATATTTAGGGAGAGACCTAAGCCTTCCAGACGTAGGTGTTGTTGCATCGAACTGAGTTACCAATTATTGTGTTCTTTATTGTTTTTTTTGCTCCATCATCTTGTACAATTAAATATGTGCTAATTTTTATGATTCTTCTAGGATATCGCACTCGACAACTGTCCCCCAAGGAACAAAATTTCATGTGGTAAAAGCCACGATAATACCCTCAAATCCTGCTCTGATCAATGGTTGATCTCTCACGGACAATCAAGCTACGAAAAGAAATAGAAGAAAACTTGCTCTATTACCACATGACGCAGTCAAAAGTACTATAGATTAGCATGCGCTAAACCTAGAATGAAAACACACGATTGCAAGCGTAAAACCTATAAGATAAGCTATGGAATCCACCAGATAAAAAAATACTGAATTTTATTATGATCAAAGATAACCTTCATGACCACACCCAAAGGTGTTTAAATACAGAAAAAGGGAAATCCTAATGGACTTTTAATCCAAAACACAAATAAAATAGAAAAAAGAAACCCTAATGACCTTTTAATCCAAAAAAAAGAAATAAAATAGAAAATTGTGAAAAATATTAAAATGTTGTTTTTAGGCTTGAAACAAAATCAAATGACTTAAAAAGCCTTCCTACATCAAAATCACATCCATATATGATTCATTACACACTTGCAAAAGTTCACTTCAATTCAAGGTTGTTAGAATCGAGTTTTTACCTTGGCTGAGGTAAAATCGAAATGTAAAATTGAAGAGTTTACCTCATATTAAAATAATAACACCATTGAAGTATGTTTGTCGAATATTAACAATCTAGCAAGGTATATGATTATATCTCATTTTCATGCACTCAAGTTGCATTCAAATACACATAATAACAAAAATAGTAACACTATGACATTCACAAAGACATAAACCGTTGTTACATACAACCCCATAATAACATTGTAACTAGAAAATAACAATTACACAACAAAAGCATCACAAAGACGCAAAACATTGCTCTATTTTTATTTGAAAAGAAAGCTCACTTAGATACATATAAATCAAAGAAGAAGGCTCATGAATCTCACAATTGTATTAGATTATGAAGTTTCGACATTGGATGCTAATAAAGAGGATGAAATTTCAGCATCAGATGCTAACAGAGAGGATGAAGTTCCAGCGTCAGATGATAACGTTAGGGTTCAAAATGTTTTACATTTCATTGCTTTGGTTTGTTCTTTCTCTCTGAAGTTTGTTTGAGAGAAGTCGTTTAATGTGAATAAAATAAAAAACCTTTATTGTAGCCGATGCAGTCGCAACTGCGATTTCGTTGCATATCTCTAAAGCCTTTATATTACAACTTCAATTGTATAATCAAGTCAAATTTGGCAAAAAAAAAGGTAAAATCCTACGATTTTATACGATTCCATTGATTTTAAGTATTTTAAATCGTTTAAAATCATCTCAAAATACGATTTATACAAAAACATTTTTACCAACAATTTAACACGAAATACTGATATAAAAACGTAAAATCTATAAAATTTAAATTTTAAATCACAATTTTAACCATCTTACTCCGATCTTTTTCGAATACGACTAGGGCTGACAATGAACCGAACCAACTCGAAAATAGTTCAGAATTCGATTCGACAATTAAATCGTTGAACTAGGTTCATGAACCAAATGAGTTGAGTATGAGCGAAAAATTAAGTTCGTTAACTAAATGAGCTGAACTTGAACTATACATAGTTCGACTCGTTAGGTCCATGAGTCAACTCGATTACATATGAGAAGAATTATACTGTCTTTAAGATTAGATTTAAATATTTACTTCAAATCTTAGACAAATTTAATCTTCAATTTAGTAGTTTTTGAATTAGACTCTCAAATGTATCTCTTGAAAGTTGTGTAGGTTTTGAATTAACAGATTTCGAAGATAAAGTTAAATTTCAATATGATAACTTTTATTTTATTTTAATATTTTATTTTAAAAATTATATTTATTTAAAATGTCAAATATACTAAAAAATATATATATTTTAAAAAATAGTTTTTAAGTCCGTGAATCATGTGAGCTGAACCTAATGAGATGAACCTAACAAGTTGAACCGAACTGTTCGTGAACTTATAACGAGTCGAGTTTGAGTTTAAAAAAAAGTTTGTGACAAACTCGAATTCGAACTCGAACTTGAACCAATTCTTAACGAGTCAAGCCGAGCTGAGGTGAGTTCGACTCGACTCGACTCAATTCCAACCCTAAATACGACCCGCATATTACTAATTTTTTTCACATTACCTTTTTCATCGTAAAAATGCACCAAAACATTCCAAATAGTAGTATTCTACACAAATTCATAAAATCTTAGTTATAACTACTAATTAGTTAACATTACAAAAAAAATAAAATAATAACACTTACAAAAACATTAAAGTTCATTTTAGAGTTTTATAGTCTGCCACCCTTAATTTTATCACAACACTTACTGAATTTCATTCTAAAATATGTCAGTGCAATGAACATGAACTAACATATAAAAAACATATGATTCATATTGTCGTACTTGCTTTTTTCCTTTTCAGTATCTCATCACAAATTTAAAATACTAGAACCAAAAAAAAAAGAAAAGAAAAACACGCCCAGTATTGTCAGAATCAAGGTAAAATGTTTTAGAAGTAAAAAAGAAAACTATTACTTTTAAACTGAACCAATATAATGAAGCGATTTTAAACTAAGGAAAGAAACTATATTATTCAAACGCCTAGACAATGTTTGGCTTCTACGCTCCAACCCAATTGGTCAAATATTAACGACTCATAATATAACTGGGTCGTTAATCACACATTCCGTCTCGCGCGTGGGTATTGTCTTTTACTTTACATTTATAATTTTAGTTAACAATAATTATAAGATAATTAATTTAAAAATTAAAATATCTAAATGGAGAGTGACTTGAAGAAGATAGAAACAAAACAAAAACAAAAACAGTCATGGAGATATAAAAGCATGAAGAGGACAAATCGGTAATTAAAGAAAATGATGGGAAGTGAAGAAAGAGATGAAGCAGTGAAGAAGAAGATCCAGGAGCTAGAAGAAGGCCATGCTTTCATGAAGCAAGAAATGTCAAAGCTCAAGCTTTCTGATGGAAGAGAACAGCAACATCATCGTCAAAGGTCTCACTCTGTGTCTCCTCAACGTTCTAGATTGGGTTCATGGAACAAAGGTTCGTGTTCTTTTAAGCATTCTTCGCCGCTTCGAAAGGAAACTCGTGCTTCTGCACTTGTGAATTTTACTGAGAAACATTATCTCAATATCTTGCACTCTTTGGGACATTCTCTTCATATTTTGGATCTTAACTCCCGTATCATTTACTGGTAATATAACTCTATTCATCTTTTTTTTTTTTGTTGCTATTTTTGCATTGCGGTTGTGTAAAGACTTTTGCGATTTCGGTCTGGACAGATATATTGCAGAACTGATTGAGGCCGTTGCGGTGTGAATTAGCTACAATTTGTTCTTTAACATAAAAACGGTGAATAACGGTATTGGTATCGGCACCTGGTAATACTGTTTTGTCGGGGCCGTTTTTACGGTTGCAGACTGCTTTTTAAAACCTTGTTTGCAACTACAATTGAAGTTGTAGTTGCAATATAAAGGTTTTAGAGGGATCTGCAACAAAATTGCAATTACGACTGCATCGGCCACAATCGAAATTGAATGTATTTTGTTGCTATATCTAAGTTCACTGTATCTGTGACCACAACCGCAATTTAGAACCATGATAAGAGCTAATGTGTTGATTTGGTGTTTGTTGAATGTGTAATGAATTGTTATGTTGGGGATGATTATGCAGGAACCGTAGTGCTGAAAATCTATATGGTTATACTGCCGATGAAGTTTTGGGACAGGATGGGATTGATTTGCTAGTGGATCCTAGGGATTGGGGAATAGCTTGTGATACGGTGAATTGTGTTATGAAGGGAGAGAGATGGAGCGGTCAATTCCTAGTCAAGAACAAGAAAGGAGAAAGGTTTTTAGCGGTAACATCCAATACTCCTTTTTATGATGATGGGAGCTTAGTTGGGATTATCTGTGTGTCGAGTGATTCACGGCCGTTTCTTGAAATGAGAGCTCCGTTTTATGGTGTAAAGAATGCTGAACTGGATTATGTTTCTGCTCGTCCTAAAAGTAGCATTACGAATCATCTTGGGTTTGACTCTCAGCAGCCGCTTCAAACTGCTCTAGCATCTAAGATTTCTAATTTGGTTTGTTCTTTAACTTTCATGTTTATACAATTTAGTATATGCTGTGGTGTGTTTTGTGATGTTAGAACTGTTGAACAGGCATCGAAGGTGAGTAACAGAGTTAAGTCGCGAATCTGGACAGGAGAAAATAATGTAGATCATGAAGGTGGGAATGGAGAAAGTCAAGGTTTCTCAGAACACAGAGAAGATGCTAATTCAAGCGGAGCTAGCACACCTAGAGGTGATTTACCACAGACCCCTGTTGGTATATTTTACCGTGTTGAAGAAAAGTTAGAAGGAAAAACTTCGAGAGACTCTGGTGACGAGAGTGAAGGAAAACCGGTTCACAAAGTTTTAACTTCTAAGGCTGAAGCCTGGGTTCAAAAGAAAACATTATCGTGGCCATGGAGAACAAATGATCCAGAAGAATCAGAGGCAAGGAACGTGCGTGCTGCTGAGCCATGGAGGCAGAATGATCAAGAAAATGAGTCAGTTAATCAGAAGAATCTTTATTCTAGCTTGAAGCAGGAAAGTCAGGTCGGTGAAAGTAATCGCCTTACTAACAACACGGCTTCAATACCCCGCTCTTCCTCCTATAATGTTATCAGCACAAGTAGTGCCAGCAGCAGCGGGAGTGCCGGCAGTGGTGCTACCAATAGCAAAATGGATGTAGACTCTGACTGTTTGGATTATGAAATTTTGTGGGAGGATTTAACAATTCGAGAACAAATTGGGCAGGGTAAGTCACACTCTTAACTAAAGGCGCAAGCGTGAGAAAATAATATATCGACAATATCTATACTTTAACAAGTTTTAGTTGAAATCTTGATAAGTTATCTGTTTTCAGGTTGTTGTGGAACTGTATACCATGCTCTGTGGTATGGATCAGTATGTTCTTTTCTCTTCCCTAATTTATGGTTTTATAGTCATGCATTATACAAGGATATTCTAAAATACATTTTGGCGAATGCAATTATGATGTCAGCTTATATTATGTTTTGCAGGATGTTGCTGTCAAGGTTTTCTCAAAGCAAGAGTATTCAGATGATGTGATACAGTCATTCAGACAAGAGGTATGATTTCTTTCCTTTTTGAACCTCTCGAGTGCGTGTAGCCCTTAAAAATTTCCTCTGTCTAACATTAATTTGAAAATATGGTGTTTTGGTGTTATAGGTATCTGTCATGAAAAGACTTCGGCACCCAAATATTCTTCTCTTTATGGGAGCAGTAACTTCACCTCAACGTCTTTGCATTGTGACAGAGTTTCTCCCACGGTTTGTTCTGAACCTTACTATTGAGTTGACTGCGTTGTATCCTCATTTTGATTACAGTTTGTTGTGCTGTGTCACAAAGTACTGAGCTAGGCTGATTATTATTGTTTCCATTTGTATTTGATAACTTCAGCGGCAGCTTGTGTCGCTTGTTGCACAAAACTACACCCAAACTTGACTGGAGACGACGAGTACATATGGCATTGGATATTGTGAGTTTTTATTCTAAATAAAGTTATCTCATTGTTATGATGCCGATGCTTTTGGTGGAATGGTACCTTGCTATTAGAAACATACATTCCATTGGCATCTTAAAAAGCACCTCTTTCACCGTGTTTGAAGCAATGTTGTATACTTGCAACTTACTTTTTTACAGGCACGAGGCGTAAATTATCTTCATCATTATAACCCGCCTATCATACATAGAGATTTGAAGTCTTCAAATCTTCTAGTTGATAAGAATTGGACTGTGAAGGTATGCCAGTTGTCATTTTCTATTTATCCTACAATGTTGGACAATATCCTAATTGTTTGTTAACCAAACAGGTTGGTGATTTTGGTCTTTCACGTCTTAAGCATGAAACATATCTCACAACCAAGACAGGAAGAGGCACGGTAGGTTCATTATTTTTTTTCACGGATCATAAAAGAAGTTCTGTTTGAATTGAAATTGTTCTCCTTTACCTTTTCCATTACTGAATTGGCTCAAAACATCTTACTGATTCTACATTTTTTCTGCTTCTAGCCTCAATGGATGGCACCAGAAGTTCTTCGTAATGAACCGTCAGATGAGAAGTGTGTTCAATCTACATACTTAGTTACTCTCTCTTCCCACACATATTTTAACGGAAATGTCAGCCTTTGATTGTCTTTTTTGCCGCTTCTTGTTAATCAGGTCTGATGTATATAGCTTTGGGGTGATATTATGGGAACTTGCAACCGAAAAGATTCCTTGGGATACTCTCAACTCAATGCAGGTATTGCTTTCATGTCTACATACTACATACAAAATAAGAGATTGCAAACTAAAATGACGGCGAAACCTATTGAATGAAAAGTCACCGCCAGAATAATGTGTTCTCAATTTCTTTTTTATTCAACTACATATCACTTTGCGTACATATATGAACAACTGTTCCTCTAGGAATTTTGCAGGTAATTGGAGCTGTAGGGTTCATGAATCAGCGTCCAGAAATTCCAAAAGACGTTGATCCAGGGTGGGCGTCTTTAATTGAGATCTGTTGGCACAGGTATGCCTTCTCATCCCATTGTTAAACTTCGTACTTGTAGCTCTGAATAATGTCACCCAAAAGATCGATGTAATTGTGGATTTGTGTCCAAAAGCTCTTCACTTATTGAGTTTCATTCATACTCTTTGAAGCAAATTCTTTCCTTTTGGTATTCTTATTCCAATAATATTGAAAGCCAAGGTGATGCAATCACCGAACATTTTATGTCTATTTATATGTTTGTCTGTTTCAACCAGTGATCCAACTTGCCGACCAACTTTCCCCGAACTGCTCGAAAGGCTTAGAGAGTTGCAAAGACGGTATGTCATTGAGTTCCAAGCAGCCCGATCAGCTGGTGGCGAAAGCATCCAAAGAAAAGAGTCATAGAGACTGCCGTGGAGCTATTCTTTCACTTTGTCACTCAAGGCTGTTACATAATTTTGTGCACATATATAAATTCTTGAAGTATATGAATTGGAACAAATAGCTTGTCATGGAGTTTATTGAATAGCTGGTCTGAGATTGAGGTCTTCATCAAACATCTGCCAATGTAATATAGAGATAAACAAGATATGGTGATTTTTTTTTGTTGTCTTAATCCTCAATTAGTCGACCCCATTTAGTGAGATAAAGTTTGGTTGTGTCTTCATCCTCGGAATCAAAGGGGAATGAGTCTCAAGTGAGAAATAATGACTTAAAAAGGCGGTGATTACCAAACTATTTAATGTTGATTGGGTTAGTCAATTTATTTTTCTTTGCCATTATAAAGTTTCTTTTATTTTCAATTTATTGGTGGTTGGGGATGTGTCTTTGATGTATTGTTAATTGGATTACTTGTTTGTTGCAACCCCAAATTTATTTAAATTTTCAAGGTAGAATGTTTGTGACATTATTTTAAAGATGTAGAGAAGGTAGTGAAAAGAAACAAATATTTTGTTTTTGTTACATCTCTATCATCATTACCCACTTTTGAAGTAAAAGTAGGGGTGGCAAAACAGGCCTGACATATCTGTTTTGCCAACATTTTTTCTGGGGTAGATTAAGGTTTTAGGCCCGTAATCTTTAATGTGTCCGTCCCGTTTTTTCCAGACTTTGATAGGCACAGACTTTTGCATATAATTTTGTAATTTTTAGGCCTAAAAGATTCAATGTCCACGGACCCGACCCGCCCTGCCGTCACTTTAATGCGAGGTGGGACAAGATTTTAGGTCCACACTCTCAAATATATCCGAGGCTCCCCGCTTTGTTTTTTGCGGCCCCTAAGTAAAAAAGTGTAGCTCAGCACAACAAATTTTAAATGTCTGCTACAAAAGTAATGTAATAGTAGTTGGTATTAAGTGCTGCTATCATAATTTAAAAAAAATTGGCATAAAAAAGGCTCACAAAGGTTCATAACTTTTGCATATTTGGTGATGTAGATTACTACTAGTAGTTTCTTTTATTCTTTTAAAATTTTGTAGACCTAATAGTAAATGACAGACACAGAGTTGTTAAGGATAATAATAATAATAATGCATAAACTTTCCAAGTTCTAATAATGTTTGACTGTTACATTGAGTTTAAGAATGGCTCTGAGATGAACTAAATCCATGAACTCTGTTTCCATAATTCCGTACCCTTTAACAAACCGAAAATAACCCGTGCCAGAAACAATTCCGAATTCTCGTTCCTTCAGTCCAAATATATCAGATCCTTGAATCTCTAAGGTACTTCCTCTGAACTCACCAGCTGTGAATATAACTGAGAAAACCATGTACAATGCTTTGCCATCAAGCTGTGAATTTACGTACACGCCTTGAGCTCTACCGATGAGTGTTGAATCCATTGTTGGTCCTTCTGTTACTGGATCGTCGACTATTGCCACGGTGCCGAAGTGTAGGATGCTTGAGGGGGGTCCGGTTTTACCAGCAACAGTGGCTGCTGTGGAGTCTTCGCCGGTGAAGTGGTCGTGGACGTAGAAGACGAGGTTGGTTTGGTTTGGTTGGAGTCTAGGGAAGGTGTAAGCTACATAGAGGATGGTTAAGGTGAAGATGAAGAAGAATGAGTTGGAAGTGAGGTTTAGTGGATTGGCCATGCTTTTGGCCTTCTCTCTCTCTCTCTCTTTCTCTCTCTCTCTCTCTCTCTCTCTCTCTAACTATGTCTATTTGTTTATGTAATTGATTAATTTAATAGCAGCGAAGATACTTTTTTGATTATTAATGGAGATTCCTATAACAAAGTGACAAAAGTGGCTCAGGGCTATTTTATACTCCTTTATAACTTTTTATATAATTTGTGGCAATTCTATTATGATAATTCTCACACATTGAAGTGTGTTTGATGAGAATTTTGAAGTGTGTATATATTATGACAATGATATTTAGATCTGAGTATTTTTTTGACAACAAATCTGATTGAGGTTTTATGTGCAAGGCTAGAACTGATCCTAGCTTACTTAAGGAACAAGTTAGCTTAATAGATTGGGTTTTGTTGAGCCTAAAAGAAGGAAAACCTTGAAGATATTATTGATCCTTATCTTAAAGGAAAAATTAGTCATGAGTGTTTGAAGAAGTTTGTTGAGATATGTGACTAGTGTTTAGCGGAGAATGGCGTTGAACGTCCTTTAATGGGTGATGTGTAAATGGAAATTTGAGTTTGCACTTCAGTTGCAGGAGAATCTTGTAAGAGGAAAACAAGTCGTTTGTGTTAGATTTATAAGAGAGATGTGTATAACTGATTACTTGAAATTTTAGGTGGAGTTGTGTCGTCTCCCTCTCTTGTGGGTTCCAGAGCATTGATCTTGCTCTGGATTTCTTTGGATTCTCTAACAAGTGGTAACAGAGCTTAGTTTGGTTTGGTGGGAGAAGATAGTCAGATCCTATATCGGATCCTATTATAGAATGTCGACGACTTATACTTATTAGAGAGATTGTTCGATTCAAGTGAGAGGTTAAATCCTACCTCGCTTATGAATGGTTAAATGTTGCATTTTAATACATTGTTTAACGCACAATAATTTCGATATATCTATTAAGGACGCGTACTCTTTGAGATTGATATGCACCTGCATTTCAACTTTTCCTATTGTGTCAAGTTACCATGAGGGAGTTTGATAAACGTTATACTGAACATGTTAAACCGATGAATGCAATAAAAGTTTGTTAGTACTGTACTTTCACCTGCAAAAAGAATATTTTTCACATCATAGGTGGAAGAGTGTGATTCAAAATTGAAGTCATGAAGACATGAAAGTTATAGATGTGATGTGTTGATGGTAAATTGGTATTGTAACAGTCCACAAAAAGGCAAATTTTCTTTCTTCACTTTTGACAAAAAAAAAAGAAACAAATGTACATTTTTCCATTCCAATTTGAGGCTTCAACCACGTCGCCTATCAAGCATTAACACAATGACATAGATACCAGATACGACACATCAGACTTTGGTTAGTCAGATCAGACACACCCTTAATTTAAAGTGTCGGTGCTACATAGATTGTGAGCTCTGGATCGTGACCGCATTTTCCAACTAACAAAAGTGAACATCTTCTTTTGTAGTCAGCAAAATTTGGCAGACTTGAAAGCAAGAGGATACAAAAAGGAGTTAGAATAAGTGAATCTAATGATTTGGCTAGAGGTTAAAGGTTTTCCTCCATTCACCAAACAATCATCAAAAGAAAGTCTCTTGAACAATTTCGGGTTGACTATTCTTGCAGAAGCAAACCAACCACAATGAAGATGGATATTATATGGAGCACACTTAGAAGAAACACATGTGTTCATAATTTGCACTACATATTGAGGAATTCCACTTAGTGTCTCTCTACTTTGTGAAATGCTTATGTCTTTGTTTGTGCAAGAACCTATAAAAACATCACACATAACACATGTTAGGAAACTGAGAATTGAGAAACTATACAAAAGATTACACTGTTATTAGTATTACCATGCCATGAAAATTTAGAACCATTTCTGTCTTGATGGAAAGAATGCATAACCTGTGTTGAAGGACCTGTTAACACAATGATGAACATAGGGTTTAGAGAAGAATTATACGAAAAAGTTTCGAAAAATAGTGGAATGTTGTTATGTTTTTGTACCTGAATGTGATTGAACATTGCTATGTACAAGGGGGATTATGAAGCATAGGAAGAAGAGAGGAGTGTAGTTAGTGATGGTCATTTTTGTTGTGTAATGCTGGTTCTATCTTTTATTTGTTTGTGTGGATTTGTAGGGAAGTGAATGATGGTGAAGTTGTTTTGGATATTTTGAGAAAGTATCTTGGACTGGATGAGGAGGGTGAGGTCACTAGTTGCTTATCAACAGTTACATGTCATCAAACATGCATGTGCATGGTCAATAGATTTTATCTGACTATTTATTATCGATATAGACCAGATACATCGATTATTTATAAGATCGATATAAAATTTATATAAAATTTTAACTTTTTCGATGTCAGTGTCTAATGATTTTAATTTTGTTATTGCACATCTACCAACTGAACTGACATGTAACGGAATAACTTGTTCTTGGGAATTCATATTTTTAAAGGTAGAGAAAGAAACATAAGACAAAGGAGTAACTTGTTCTTGAGAGGGTAAAAAGGAAGATATTAGTCATTGAATGCACAATGGAAAAATGCCAAAAAGCTATTTCCTATCTCAGTGCAAATTAAGAAGTACAGACAAGCTGTTTGGTTCAAAATTGTGTTCAAGCATTTTACCCTTTAAATAAATTTCATACTTCAAATGTTCTAAAAAGGAAAATTAATTTTTTTTACTAGTAATCTATGATTAAATAACTAAAGAAGTAAAGGGAAAAGAAAAATATATTTCAAGGATGGACGCAATAGTCGTTTTACACAGTAAACTATCTATAATTTGTAGTTTTTGTTAGTGCAAAACAAAGTAAAACAAGTAGAATAATTGAATGAATGTGTATTTGATTGATCATAAGGCATTTCATTTATATAAGTACTAGAGATTTCAAATTGAACATAACCAAAATAAACTAATACCGACGACCTTAATTGACTCATTAATGAATGCTAACTACCTAAATTACCTCAATTTAAGTTAACTACTTTAATAAAGTAACATGAGTTACAAGAAAGATAACTTTGTAAGAGTAAGATTTGTCTCTACAGAATTATCTCTATGTTTTGATGATAACAATTAAGTATTTGTGAAAGAACCATTTTATGTTCTAATGTTTGTTATGTGCAGATCATGATAATTAAATATATAAGATCAAACAAACACCATCAACATGTGCAGCTAATACAATATGAGAGTTACTATGTGTGACATATCATAAAGCGCTTATGGGAGAAACTAGTTTGCTTATGCATCTGATCACGATCAGAAAGATCCAAAGATGTTGTATATTGCAGTTGCAATGATCTTGTGGATTCTGCTATGAGAAGTGCATCTGATCTGAAAGCAATCAAAGCATATTGAGAAGCAAGTATGACTCTGTATCTGATCACGATCAGAAAGATCCAAAGATGTTGTATATTGCAGTTGCAATGCTCTTGTGGATTCTGCTCTCAGAAGTGTATCTGATCTGAAAGCTATCAACGCATCTGAGATATAGTCCTCTGAAGACTCTGATGACTTGAAGTTCTGAAGGCTGAAGGCTCTGAAGACCAAGTGCAGAAAGACTCTAAAGACATGATTTCTGAAGAATCAGTCACGAAGATTCTCAAGACTGTTTCATAGGAAACTTAGATCTGGGAATGCTGAAGACTGGATTCTGAAGTTGAAGATTGTGTCAGAAGAAGATTCACCCAGACAGAGGTGTATTACTCATCAGATAAGCTGTTGCTATCAACTCTGATAAACAAGGTGCTGAAGTCAGACTCTGATGTTATTATGCTATCATACCAAAGTAGTTTCTGAACTACTCATCTGATACATCATTAGAAGAACAAAAGGCAGAAGCTGATATGTCCTAACTGATAAATGAAGATCACATCATTTGTGGATAAGAGTTGTCTCTCACAATGATATATTAACGTTGCAAGAAAAGGAAAAGAAAGTGATGACAACACTATACAACACGTGAGTATTCTATCTGTTGGGAAAGGATCGTTGGAATATTTGAATGGACATCTCTACCCTCACAACGTCTCTTTTTGAATGCACTATAAAAGAAGAACATTTGATTCGTTCAAATGTTAGCCAATTACAAAGTAAGAAGCTCATTACAAAGCAAGCCAGCTTGTTAAAAGGCAATGATGCTAACGAGTGAAGTTAGCAACATAATTGAATAACAAGAAAAGCTTTATGCTAGAAGATGCAATGCTCACATAAGAAAAACTTTTAAGCAATATGAAAACTACTGTTCTAATAATCTCATAGAGATTTATCTTTAGATTAGTTTCTGTATTAGGAAGCAAGGAGTTGTTGCTCAATACTTGCTATGTACTTAATTAGGAGTAATTTGCTTGACAAGAAGCACTCATGTAATCTCCGGCAACACAAATTCATTTTAGAATTAGTGGCTCCTCAAGTGATCTTGTGAAGATCAGAATACTTGAGATGACAAGTGACAGTTGTCATTTGTGGTAACTGATAGGAGATCTTAATTGATCAGATTCTATTAGGTGTCAATGAACGTTATATCCTAAGGGATCCCTGAACGTGTCATTGTCTATTTGTTAGTCACTTGCAGTTAGCTTGTGCAACTGTAATCAATTTGGTTATAGTGAATTAAGTCCTTGCTTGAGTGAGGCAAAATCACCTTGGAAGGGTGGAATGGATTAGCTTGAGAGTTGCTCAAGTGAACCAGGATATATCATGTGTTCTTTACTTGTGTTATACTTTATTATATATGCTTTCGCAATGCATCGCATAGAACTCTATAGAAAGCAACAAGTGAAGAAACCGAGAAAAAGTTTTAATAGAGTAAATACCCAATTCAACCCCCCCCCCCCTTCTTGTGTATTTCTCACACCTTCAAACTTAAATTACAAGAAAGCCAACATCCTCTCTTAATTCAAGTTATTTAGTGACACTACACCAATATCCTTCGCACGCCTTCAAAAGTGTCAATCTTAACTACTTTAATGAATAAGTATGCCAATTGCTTTTTGGTTAAATAATAGATCATCTTCAAAACTTCCTTGTTGACTTGTTCTCTAAAGAAATTAAACATTGTTTCAATGTGCTTGCTTCTATCATGGAACACAAGATTTATTGTCAAAATAATTGTTGATTTGTTATCTAAGAATATGATTATAGGCTTTCTTACTTCTATTTTAAAGCTCATTTAAAATTGAGGCTAACCATCTTGTTTTGACAAATAACTAGTGAGCATGCTGTATACTTAGACTCATAGGTCAATAATGCAACTACTAGTTATTTTTCAAGCACCATGATATTAAAGTGTTGTGGATCATGAACAAGTTGTCTAACGTGATTTTTCTATCTTGATTATCTCCACATCAGTCTTCATTTGAGAAGTCAATTAAATCCATACTAAGTTGAGTTGAATTGACGAGAATAACATTCCATAACTGAGTGTTTCTTTGATGTATCTCATATTTCTCTCGGTTGCATGAAAATATGAGGCTCTAGGATCACTCACGAACCTACTAATAATTTCAACTGCATATAGAATATCTGATATGTTGTGACGTAAATATCTCAAAGGTTGTGTGATTAGTTAGAACAAAGTTGGATTCACTAGCTCTTCATTTTCATCATTATCAAGTTTTAGATTGATTTTTACAAGGGTTGATAACGCGTTGCACTCGATCATGTTAAATATCTTTAGCACATTTAAGGTATACTTCCTTTGACTCGTTATCAATCCTCTTCATGTTTCATCAAATTCCATTCCTAAAAAGTAAGTCTGTTTTAAAGGCCAGTTATTTCAAACTCAATCATCATTTTTTCCTTGAACTTTGCAATTTCAACTATGTTGCTGTCTATGATAAGAAAATCATCCACATATAAGAATTGCCAACATTATTCACATTCTCACATACACACCATATTAGGAGGCACACATCTCAGACTTTTGGTGTACTGGGAATTTATCTATTTTTTTTATTCCAAGCTCTTGATGCTTGTTTAAGTCTATATAAAGTCTTTTTTAGATTTAATACAATTTATTCCTTATCTTTGATTTTAAAATCGGGAGGTTGTGTCACATACACATTTCCCTTCAACGATCCATTCAAGAATGCATCCTTCACATCTAACTAAAATAAAGGCCAACCTCTTCCATATTCAATGAAAAAAATTATCCTTACGGTCTCAAGCCTTCCAACTAGAAAAGCGACTTCATCATAATTCAAGTCAGGTTTCAACATAAAGCCTCTTGCAACTAATATAACATTGTACTTGGAAATCTATCTATTTGGCTTTAACCTCAGCTTGAACACTCATTCCACATCTATGACTCTTTTGTTTAATGGTAGTTTTGTCATATCCTAAGTGTTGTTCTTCTCTATTGCATTTAATCATTAAATTATTGCATCATTCCATACCTTTTAATCTAAGGTCTACTTATAAATATCTGGTTTTACATCTATAAAAAGAGTAAAGTGTATAAACTCATCTTCATCATTTATTATATTTTTATGAAGAGTTTCATAGTTTCCAAACCTTGTGCACATAAACCTTTGTCTTTGGTAGGTTCTTCTTTCTTTAGCTACTTCTGTATTTGGTACCTCAGTCCTCCATTCATCTTGATATTCTTGTTCCTCATCAATCATCATTAAAATAGTTAGAGTTATAAAACTTTACTCGTTGCTCAAATACTATAATTTTGACTAACATAATATCACATTTATGCTCACAATGATTGTGTGTTAGACTAGATTGTATATGCTATAAACAATTGTTTTATGATACCTTACAAGTATCATAGGTTCACTCATATCATTCATATTTTCCTTCTTGCCTCAGGTACATGTCTATAACACAAATACAAATGCCCTTTTAGATGTTTCATTGTATGATTTCTCTTCTTCCATACCTTATCAGGTACTTGTCTAGCTGTTTGGTGGGACATTTGTTGAGCACATAGGTTGCTATAAACATAACTTATCCCAATAGTATGTGATTTGGAGTGATTAAAATGGATTGTCTTGGCCTTCGATGTAGGGCAGCAACATCGGTTGTAGGAGAGGAGGGGGTGTACCTGCAAGGTACTCCAATGACAAAGTA